ACTCGGAGCCTTCCTCTGCAGGAGGTATCGGATGGCGGGTGACATTTATCTCCACTTTGAGAAAAGCTCCGACAGCCAATTCCTGCACCTTCAAAGCTTCTCAGTTAAAGGCACAGGGGCAGAGCCCAGTTAAAAAATCTGGCAACCGCCCCTCCCTGCCGCCATAGTAGGAGAAAGACCCTGGAGCAGCGCTGCAAGAAGCCTGCATTTAAGGTATCTTTGCTTTGCTTTGTCGGTGGATGTAACAATCATAAATAACAGCGGCCAAGTCTAAACGCAGCGAGAACCAACTGGCGAACTTGACCTCCTTCATCATCGCGTGGCTTCCAAATTGTCCTCCAAGTTTTGGCTTAACGGACCTGCGTTGCCACTACTACGACTTAAAAAGATTAAGGGGGGAGAATCAGCCCTCCAGTGTTAATCGGTGATTTGCTGAGGTTTCCTTGCGTCCCTGCTGGGACCTTCGCAAAAGCCCATCTTCCCCGTTCTATCAGAGACGTCTTTAAAAGCGCCGGGAGGCGAGGGGGATTGATGGATAAATTATGGCCTCTGAGAGAAGGGGTGGAGAAGAGTGCATTATACAAATGAAAGCGGTGTGTTTTACAGGCCCATAATTTATAGGCCGGGGGTGGGCGGGGAGCGGGAGGGGAGAGAGAGACCCGAGAAGAATCCCGAGTGACTCCCACCAGAGCTTGATGGTGAGGTCACAAACCTGGAAGTTTTCGCCCACTTAGAAAGGCTGGGCAGATCCCTGTTTTCTCCGCCGATTTCCACGCGAGAAGGTTTGGTGGGACTCAGCTCCCACCATCCGCACTTAAGTTAGCGAATACAAAATCCAGTGCAATTGCCTGATCTCTTGGCTGCAGGAAGGGCACACTGCCTCCTTTGTTTCACACGTGTCATAATTCCTCGAGAAGGAACAGTCTATATCAGTGGTTTCCTATTAGGGGTCCGCGGAACGCACCCAGGGGGGTCCGAAGCCTCATCCCTTGCCTGCCCCCAACTAATTTTGGGGGGGTCATTTTTGCAGGGTAATATCACAATTTTATGGTCTTATTTTAGTATACCTAAAATCCTTTGCTTATTAAAGGCTACCCCACATTTTGTTCAGAAAATTGCTTTGCAGAGGTAACTACCATGGAGTTATCAATTTTTTCAAAAGTAGGGTGTCCCTGGCTTGGCTTTCGAAAAATAGGGGATCCTCAGCAATTAGCTAATTGGGAACCACTGGTCTATATCTTTGGATATTTACAAAATATTAGAAGTAACCAAATCGAATGATCATACAATATATTGCTGTTGTGTTATTTGCGCCTCAGTGCCATTCAGTGCTCCAGAAGGAGACTTTCAATCGTTCTATGACTTGCCCCCCATCCTGGTATGTTGAACAGAGCCAGAGAATTGGGCTGCCAACTTTTCAGTCGGGCCTTGCTGCTCCGCCTTTAGCAATGGGTTGGCTGAAGGAGCGTCTTATGAGAACAACGTTTACCTGTTGCCAGGTCGTTCCTACAGAGCTGCGTACACAACCATACAGTTAAAGCACATTTCCCCCCCCCCGCCCCCAAATAATACTGGGAACTGTAGTTTATCCCTGACAGAGCTACAATCTCCAGCACCCCTAACAAGTTTCCAAGATTCTACAGTTCCCACGATTATTGGGTCTGCTTTAATTGTAGAAGAAGAGAAGAAGAGGAGTTTGGATTTGATATCCCGCCTTTCACTCCCTTTAAGGAGTCTCAAAGCGGTTGACATTCTCCTTTCCCTTCCTCCCCCACAACAAACACTCTGTGAGGTGAGTGAGGCTGAGAGACTTCAGAGAAGTGTGACTAGCCCAAGGTCACCCAGCAGCTGCAGGTGGAGGAGCGGAGACGCGAACCCGGTTCCCCAGATTATGAGACTACCGCTCTTAACCACTACACCACACTGGCTCTCAGTGTAAGGTGTGTTTGCAGCCAACCTTGAAGACACAGAACTAGTTAATGAAAGCCCTTCAAGAAGACATGGGTGGGGACCTGCGGCTGCCGTGACTCAGTGGCAGAAGGTCCCAGGTTTAATTTTGGCATCTCCAGGTGTGTGAGAGATGAGAAAGACCTCTGCTTGAAGAGATGGAGAGCCCTGGGATGGGAAACCTTTGCTGTGACCTTTCAGATGTTCTTGGACTCAACTCCCATCATCCTAGGTCATTGGCTGTACTGGCCGGGGCTGATGGGAGCTGGAGTCCAACAGATTACCTGTTTTAACATCATCTGGAGAAACACAAGGCTCACAGGAGCGCAGCATAGGCCCATGAACGTGGTCTCTTGAATTCATGGGGATATCTGCCATATAGGGGCAGGTGCCACCCTCAAAGTCGTGTTTTGGGGGAGCCTTCCTCAACACGCGGGAAACCTGGTGAGAAGGGGAGAGGCCCTCTGCACATGCTCTAGGCACGTGAGCCCCAAGTTACCTGCCCTGTATTCATAAACGAGTAAGTAATCATAAAGCAAATCTACAAGGAAGACTATTTGCTAAGCGGTGTAGGAACGAAACACGGTGCCTAGTTGGACGTGGCCGAGAGATTATCACGATGCTGTCCGTGAAACAGTCTCATCATCAGCCGCCGTCCAACTAACGTCCAAAAAACTAAGGCCCAACAACAGGTTTATTTGTCGTGATATCCTCCAATGCTTTTGAGGGTCAGGAGTTCTTCTTCACACGCTTCGCTTTCCTTGGGACGAGATCTCCTATTTCCCCAGAAGCGCCCGAAGGCACCCAAAGGTGAAACCCATTTTCATAAACCTCTTTGACCCCCGGAGGCTGCAGCAAAACCAAGCATGGTCTGGACGCCTTCCCGGTACAAAGTCAGCCGAACTTGGTCTCTTTCACAAAGAGCTTCTGAAGAAAGGGAGGGACAAGAAAAGGGGTGCAGAGAGAGGCAAAGGACCCGATGTTTGCTCTCTCTCTCTGCCAGCCTTGTATCGACGTTACGTGACCTTCCGTTCACATTCCCGCCGGCGGTTCTGTCTTTCTCTAACTTGCTGCCGCCGCCTTGGCAGTTTCTGATTCCCCCCCCCAAAGCAAATGAACCCCAAACTCTTCCCGCTCGCTTTCTTAACGCCTCCTATATGCGTCTATATATATATATGCATTTAGCCGTGTTTGTGTAAGATAAGTGGGTTTAATAACACCATCGACTAAACATGCGTTGGCGGCGGACCTGACTTCTTTGACCTCGCCGTGTTTATTCTTTCCAGCTCGTTAAAAAGCTGTTGGCACCGTCGAGGCGGGGAATATTTAATTTCAGGTGTCCAGGAATCGGAGGAGAAGCTGGAAGGCAAGAACTTATCCACATTAAATACATTTAACAGGCAGGAGAGGAGAAATAAAAGGACAGCATTTTCACGATAGGCAAGGACAACAGAATTTGCAGTTGGTGGAGGCGAGAAAAACAAGAATCTTTGTTGAAGAGGAAACTGAGAACATCATTGACGCTAATTTTAATGGGATTTTAAAAGACTCTTTTTCATTCCCTTCAAAACCAGGATCGTGCATCGTTTCGCGTAAAGGCTATGACGCCCAAGGAAGTTCTGAGGTTTTTTCCTGTATGTTTGGTTAACAACGGACTGAAATATCAATTCAGGACTTTGACATCCTTTTTATTTTAATGATGAAAAGGATTAGAAAATAATACCGAGATTCTAGTCCCATGCATGTGGGAGAAGCCCCATTGAACTGATAGGAGCTTACTTCCAAGTAAGCAACCATGGGCTCAAACTGGTCCTCAGTTGTGACAACCTGAAAAGCAGAACGAGCGCGAATAAAACTTTTCTAAAAGACGGACACACTGGGAGTTTATTACTCTCATCTCATTTTTATTTTTGCACCTGCAACTCTGTTACGAAGGGTGCGATTTTTAAACATTGATCCATAGGTAAGTAAACATAGCACCTTAGCAAAGAGTTGATGCTCTTTTGATATCATCCTTGGAGGAAAATGCATCCGCGTTCCATTCCCGGGGAGTAGAACGCTGAAGTCTCTCCAGGTTCCAGAAATGGCAGCATTCGCTATTTCAAACACTGGACGTCCGCTCCATATCCAGGTCAAGATGCGAGGAGGGTGGGAAGACAAACAAAAGAACAACTGGGGTTTATGTATTTGTTGTCCCTTCTTAATTCACAAAGGTCTTCTTCGGGTGCTACTGCTAAGCATCCCTGAAAGGTCGGCTGTTGACTGTAAAAGAAAGGTTTTAAAAAGAGGGCGAGGAAAATATTTTACGCCGACCCAAAATAATCAGGCTTCAGATGTGATACACCTCGTCCTATCCTAATTATGCTACCTAGAGAAGAAAAGTAAAATACAAGAATAACCGGGAGTTCCCTTCTGTGCAAATTATGTATCTCCTACTAATAATATCCACACGGGATCCCAGAAAAGCAAAGGGGACATTTGTGAACTCAGCACCCGGGACAGACAGCCTCTAAATAGAGCAGAGCTATTAATTATTTCAGATTCAATCTCTCTCTCTCTCTCTCTCTTTCTCTCTCTCTCTCACACACAGCCTCAGTCCTCGCCTAGCTGCGTGAGTTGCCCAAATAACTTTCAGTAGCTGAGAAAAGCAAAGCGAAGTTTCCTTCTCCCCACTAATTAAGGTTAGAGCATGTCGCTCTCGCAGCCAAACGGAGCATCCTAACTTAGGAAAGAAACTTAGAGACGCGATTCTTCCGCTGTTGTTGAAGGCAGGAAAAAAATATCCTTTCCCTTCTATGGGAAACCCGTCTGATGAAGCGTTTTGCGTAAACCGTCAGAGCTCTCTCTCCTTCTCCCTCCAGCCCCCCCTGGCCAAAAGGAGCAGGAAGCTCCCCCCAGGTGGGCGGGACCTAGCAGCCCAGCATCCTTGACAGCTGTGTGCCGAGGCCAATCGGCTGCTCCGGATCGCCTCTCCGGCCACCAATGGTGCCCTGCCTCTCCGGAGAGCCTATGGGAGCCTCTCCCGAGCCTTCAAGTGAGCCCAGCCAGCAGGTCCGGAGCGCTTTCGCCAGAGCGGTGAGAGAAGGAGCGCTTTCCCCTGGAGGGGTGGCGGAGACATTCGCTGCACCCGTGCAATCTCCGCGGAAGGGGCGCGGGGGCGCAAGTTGCGCGGATGGTGGGGCTGCTGCGGGCTGGGGCTGATCCGCCGCCGCCTTGGGTTCTCTCCCCTTCCTCCTCCTCCGGAGCTGCTGCTTGCAAGGCGACCCCATGAGCCTCTCCGAAGCCGTCTAACCCCGCGCCGCCGGGATGGAGAAATCCAAGAATTTCCGCATCGACGCGCTGCTGGCCGTGGATCCTCCCAAGGCGGCGGCCTCGACGGCTCAGACGTCGCCTCTGGCGCTGGTCACCTCGCTGTCGGGCCACGCCAGCTCGCGATCCAGCAGCTCCAGCGCCAGCTCCAGCTCCAGCTGCAGCCCGCCCTCCTCGGCGGAGCCTCCGCCCTCGTCCGTCGAGGGCCTGCGCACCGACAGCCCCTCGCCGCCTCGGCTCCTGGGCGCGCACTGCGGGCTGGTGCCCAAGCCGGGCTTCCTGGGCGGCGGGGGAGGCGCGGCGGGGGGTCCCCACGCCCACCCTCACCCCCACGCCCACCCCCACGCGCACCCCCACGCCGCCCTGGGGCTGCACCCGCAAGGCGGCGCCGGCCTCCACCCGCAAGCCGCCCTCTACGGCCACCCCATGTACGGCTACCCGGCGGCGGCGGCCGCGCTGGCCTCGCAGCACCCGGCGCTCTCCTACTCCTACTCGCAGGTGCAGCCGTCGCACCCGGCCGCCGACCCCATCAAGCTGAGCGCCGGCACTTTCCAGCTGGACCAGTGGCTGCGGGCCTCCACCGCCGGCATGATCCTGCCCAAGATGCCCGACTTCAACTGTGAGTAGCACCGAGAGAGAGATCGGACAAAAGATCCATAATAATAATAATGTGTGTGAGCTTGCGTGCGCACCGCTGGATGCGTGCTGCTCTTGCTGTGTCTGTGTTTTATATTTAATTTTATTTTTATTATTTATACCCCACCCATCTGGCTGGGTTTCCGGGGGCGGGGGGGGGAGAGAGATGCATACCTAAGCAGCACGGATACGATTGTGTGAACGCTCACACACCTATGATATAGACTCAGTCCCTCTGGAATATGTAATTTAAGGACAAGGGAGCCGCAATCTTTCCTTTGTTATCCGTTTTTCTCGCTGCCAGGCAGTAGCTGGGGCCTAAATGCGGCCGATGGCGCCTGCCTTGATTCTGTTCCTCGCCCTTCCTCCTTTGCGATAGAAAGACGCTCCCTGGCTGACCGAGGATGGTGTATTTGGATGGGGTTTGGGGGGTGAGCGAGGGAAACCCCCGCTAAAAGGAATGTCGCCCTTGGGAAAGCCGAGGTGGCATTGGGGAGGAGCGGCTCCTCTTAACAAGGAAGGAAAAAGCCATTTCCCAGCAGGGAGGTCTTTAAACCTGCAAAACGCGTGCTTTGGGGGTTCGTTCGTTGGGGAATCAAACACAGACGAAGACGAGAAGCAGTGGGAAGGGTTGGGTGGCGCGTAAAAGGCCAAATATTGTGCACAGAGCAGCGGCCGACTCACTGGAGCCTAAACCGCGAATCCATCGGATTAGCCAGTCCGGTGCTTGTCCTTCGCCCTACCTAGCAACTGATTTAGGGTTTCATGGGGACAATTTCAGAGCTTCGTTTTTTTAAAAAAAGGCGATGGGGATGATCCAGTCCCTATTAAGTCCCATTTATTTCAACGGAAGGGTTAACCTTGTCCTTTGTTTGGACTGACTTCCCTTGATAATGTCGGGATCTTAAAATACTTTCCCCCCTGGGTGTGCGCCCGACATCCCTCCTATAATATCCCTAATACGTGTTCTTAATTGTATGGGGAGCATTGGAATATCGAAGCCAAACCATTAGCTGTTCTTGCACGCACGGTCCGAAAGACTGACCTCTTAATATTCACTACCAAGATTTGTATTATTTGGGGTAAAATTGCAGCTAGGCCTCGGTGAGGCTATTTATTGTATTCCCCCCTCTCTGTGCAATAATCATTCAGTAAATCCATATTATTATTATTATTATTATTATTATTATTATTATTATTATTATTATCAGATATAATGGCGTGTTGGCTACTTGATGTTAACTTTGCTATAAAAGCAGTGCAGCTCAGTTAGGCTTACTTTTCTTGATAAATAGTCAAAGGGGGGGGAGTTACTTGTTTCTTATTCCCCCCCCCCCGTCCCTTTTTGAAGGAGAAGAAAAGAAGAGGCCCTTCCGACAGGAAAAAGTAATAATTAGGGAAGCTGTCAAAATTCCTGCTCCCGCAAATAAAACGCACGTGTGAACAAACAGCCCGAAGAAAGACCATAACGGGAGGCTTGGGGAAATCGCGCCGGGGTGCGAAAACCGCCTCGGCGGTGCTGTTTGCACGTGGCAGGAGGCTCTGGGAATTTAAGGGAGAGAGGAAAAAACGCCTAGTACTATTCTGATATTTTAAGAGGTTTCCTGCAAATCAAACTAATTGTTCTGTTGAAAGGAATCCTCTTAAAGTACCCAAAGCGGTGGTGAGACTGCGGGTTCAGTACAGCAACAAATAAATAAAAATTAAGCATTGATATTGAAATCGACGAGGATTAAAGGTGGCCTGTATCTACCTACGTTCAATTCCGGTTAGAAAAACGGGGCTTTGAAGTTTTGAAGGCGATCACAAAAGCCCTGGTTGTTAGATAACAGATTTAGGCAACGCGGATTTGCTTTCTAGCAAAAAACCGGATTGCAGCTAAATATCAGCGTTTAGATCCCTCTTTTTGACGCGACAAGAAAGCGGAACATTCTCAGGATTTATTTCTGTTACATTTTTCTTTTACACGTTTTTTTCTAAAATTATTTAGCTTGCCACGTTTTTCCTAAAATTACCACGTTTTTCCTAAAATTATTTAGTTTATTTAGCATAATAAGCCTACCACATTTTTAACAACAAACAAGTCGCAGAAGACTGATGAAACCTCTCAAGACTGAGCGCTTGTTCCGTCAAAGCCCACCATGGATAGAAGGATTTTAATTCCATGGTGTATTTACAGGGCAATATTAACAAGAGGAGAGTTACATTGATATCCCCATATCAGTTGGTGGAAACTGACGACCCTAATCCGGGCAGAACAGAAGACACCCAAATGCAGACCATTCGTTTGGCTGCCAGAAAACAGGACTTTTAATTCGTACTGCGTCGAGGAAAACATCTCTCGTTTTCCACGCCGCTTGCAGAAGAGCTCCCGTTTATTTCCAAAAGTCTTTTGGAATGGTAGCGCGGTATGTTTTGGTTCTATATTTGGTTCAAGGAAGGGGGGAAAAATGTCATTTCGGAGTCTGCTCTCTGTGGCCTTTTCTTCTCAGATCGATTCCCCAAGAGTCCTCCTTTTAATTAAAAAGTCCGGTTCGAGGGTCAGTTTGAGAATAGAGGGGGCACCATTGCTTAAAAGGGGGCGTTAGATGAAACCCGCCAACGGTTTGCCCCTTACCCTTCTCCCTCAGGGCGGTGGGGGGGGCGAGCTCTCCTGAGCCCTCGGATCGCGCCCCTTTCACTTTCTCCCAATTATTATCTCTTGGGAAATCAGAGAATGGGCTTGGTGACCCCGCCCCGAGGCCGCCCCATCGTTCGACTTCTCCGGCTGGGATTGTGCGAAGCGCTTCCCTCGGTCCAGGGCGCCCCGTCGGAGCGCCGCGCTTCCATCTCCCGGCGCTCTGCGGGCTTTGCCGCGGCCAGCAGCTCTTCGGGGGCGAGCAAGGCCCGGAGAGGGGACAGGGCTGGCTGGCTGGGTAGAGGGAAGCCTCGCTTCTCCTGCGGCTCTTGGCGTGCCTGAGAGGTAGGCTCCCTCGGTGAGATAGGAGATGTCTAGAGACCCACCAGGGTGCGGGGTCAGCGAGAGCAATCTGGGGAAGCGAGGCCTCTCCCCGGACGGATCACCCTTCCAGGTGAAGCCCAGGATTTGGAGGCGGAGGAGAAACTGAGAAGGAAGCCCCGTTTGCAAACTTCTCCCGGTTGGGGCTTCTTAGGATTTGCCAAGCCAAGGGCCGTCGGAAGGGCGGCGAGTTTGTCCGCTGCCTTCCTTGGCCTTCGCCGTAGCGCTTTTGCGACGGTCCAGTCCTCGCCTCACGATCTGCAAGGCGAGCAGGAGAAGAGGATCGGGCCAATTCACGAAGGAGAAGGCTAGCAACGTCGCGCAGGCCACTCTTTTCTTCCAGGAGACCTTCAAGGCGCATCCAGAGAATTCTGGGCACTTGCAGTTGGCTAAAGAATGCAGGGAATTGTAACTCTACAAAGAATGAACTACAGTGCCCAGAATCCTTTGAAGGAAAGAATGCGCTTTAAAGGTTTCGCGTGTCCGCATATGTGTCTCTGCCTATGAGTTGGTCGGGATCCTAAGGAAGAGGAGGAGGGGGCTGTTGCGCTCATGTCCTGTTTTGGGGCTTCTTGCAGGCATCTGGACTCGATGGGCCATTGGCCTGATCCAGCCGGCTTCTCTTACGCACATCTCTCCCTTGGACTTTCTTCTTCCGCGTCCATGAATCACCGCTTGACATCAGAGCATGACTTCAGACGGAGGCTACAGGCTCAGAGGAAGCCGTAGCAGGATGGCTCCCCTTTCTGGCTCCATCCTCCCGCGACCAATACTGTGCTTCTGCCGGAATATTTTTTAAGGAATCCTTTAAAAAACAGTTCTTAAAAATAGAATTAAATTATTGTGCCCAAAGCTATACAGCTAAATCACTTCCCCTCTTTCCTAGATGTGAGATGGCATCATGAATCTGAAAGATGTTATGATGAGAAGCAGCTGGGTGTGAGATAATCCGCTCTGATCCGCACAAATGTCTCAGCCTCCGCTGCTCCTGGCCCGGTCCGCGCTCTCCATACTTTCCTGCGCAGGGCAACTCGTTCATGCATTGATTGCGGCTGCAATCTTATACCCACTACTGAACTCGAAGGGACTTGCGTTTGAGTAAAGATGTATACGATTGTGCTGTGGAAAGGGGCATTGTGTGTGTGTGTACACTGATACAGGAGGCACATTCAAAAATGCTAAGAGAGTTAGGTTCTGGAAAGACTAATCATAAATGCAATAAATGCTATATAGATGCAATAAATGTAAAATAACAAGGCATCGCTAACCGGCGGAACTACAAGCTGCAGTGATTGCAACTAGGGCAGATGACTTGGAAAAAGAGAGAGAGGAGAATTTAGACGGATTAATGGATATTAGGACAGCCATAAGAGCAAAATGATTCTTTGGCAGGTAGTCATGAGATTTAAATATATGGTGTGTCCTCAGTCCCCATTGACCGAGGCAGCATATCTCCGGATAGCAAGAAACTGAGGGGAGGCTAGCGGGGCAAAGCTCTAAGCTCTCCGTGGGACCTGAGACCCAGCGGAGGTGGGGACTGTTCATTTTCTAGTTCCTAAAGCAAAATAAGATACCGTCGAGTCCAGGCGACCATGTCCCTGCCCCGCAGAGCTTACGGTCCAAAATTCGACTCGGGCGACAACAAAGGAAGAGACAGGAGGAGGGGGACTTGAACAGCACGGAAATAACCCCAGAGAGAGGGTTTCCATAGGGTTAGTTATTTTGAGGAGTTTCCATCACAATTCCCAGCTTGATTTACATAAACAGAAGATGCAGGAAGTCTCTCCTCTCGCCCCGATCTTGTTGCTGTGTGTCTTTCTAGACCGCCTTTCCTTCCCCCTTAATCAGTTTCTCCAGGAGGGTCCTGAGCTCCGCCGCTGTTCCCAGGACAAAGGAAGCCCTTGCGCAACGGAGCGCGGCTAGAGGGATGTAGTGGGTGGCGCGCTCCTCGCTCCTCGTCCTCTCTCACGCCTTCTCCTTTCCTCTCTCCCTCCTCAGCCCAAGCACAGTCCAACCTGCTGGGCAAGTGCCGGCGGCCCCGCACGGCCTTCACCAGCCAGCAGCTGCTAGAACTGGAGCATCAGTTCAAGCTGAACAAGTACCTGTCCCGGCCGAAGCGCTTCGAGGTGGCCACGTCTCTCATGCTCACCGAGACGCAGGTGAGTGTCTTGCTGGGGAAGGGAGGAGGAGGAGGAAGAGAGGAGGGAGCTGGATTCAGCACAGGAGGGGGATCACCTGCAGAGGAAGGAGCTTTTGCCTTGCTGGGTTCGCTGCGCATCTTCCGCAGGCAGGCGGAACCTGCGTAAAGAAGCGCCCCCTTGAGGTCCAATCAGCTCACCACCAAGTTAGCGCTCGGGTCCGCAGTTTTGAGTCCACGGCTTTCCTTTCTCATTTCAGCCAAAATATTAACATGGGGGAGCAGAATAGTGCTTCGTTTCGTTTCTGTTTACATTACAAACCCCCCACCCTGCCATTCCAGTGCTCCAGGCCCTTTTCCAAACTTGGAAATGCAATAAAGTTTCCTGGCTGGTAGCCAGATTCTGCGCCCAGATTTGTAGGCACAGATCATCCTCTGGAATAAAATAGCTTACTAGGGAAATGCTGAAGTCGCCCTTTGGGGCGCCTCAGGGTCAATTTTTATGGCAGCCCAAATCTCAGTTGTACGGGTGTATGTATATATCTCAGTTTTAACTTATGAGCTATTGCTGCAATCTGCTCTGATTGTATATTTTATCTTTATGAACGCTGTTTTTATTTTGTTATGCGAGCTGGTCTTTGACCGTAATAAATTATCTTTCTTTCTTTCTTTCTTTCTTTCTTTCTTTCTTTCTTTCTATCAATCAATAAAGGCTGCAATCCTATTGTCACTTATCTGGCACTGAGTCCACTGAATTCAACAGGGTTTACTTCTTAGGGGGAATGTGTGGGATTGTACTGTGTGCTATTTCATGGGGGGAAGGCCTTGAGTCAGGGGCGGAGCAGCTGCTTTTCATGCAGATGGTCCTCAAATCAATCCCTGGCACCATCTAAAATCCTGGAGCACTGCAGCCAATCACTGTAGACATTACTGAATGAAATGGACCAATAGTCTGACTCGGTGTAGCTTACTATGTTCTCTGTGTCTCCCTTCCTTCTTTAAATCTAAGGTGGGTTTAATTTAAAAGATTCTTTTAGAACAACACGCAGGCAATATAGGAGGCCTCTGGACATTATGGGAGGGGGGGAGGCATAGGGATCATAATTGCAGATCATAAACGGGAATCAGTTTGGCACCACCCATCCCTATGAACAATTTCTGCCTGTCTGCAGGAGGCTTCTCTCAAAATTATGTTTTGCTGGCACCGGGCTCCATCATGTCTAGCCAAAATAAAAAACAGCATCTCCCTGCTGTGCTGGAAAGGCTGTGGAGAGATAGGCTCATGTTTTCATGCATTTGTGGAGTTGTACATTGTGTTGGTATACTCCTTTTGCGAAATGGGTTTTCACATTATTTCCACAATTACACAGCAATGCCTCCCACCCAAGTTGGCTCTTGCCTTGTTATCATTAGACTCAAATTTTAAAAATAACCTTAGATGCTGAAATTTAGTATCCCCCCCCCGCTGCTTACTAGGAGCCCAGTTAACAATAGCCCAATATTGGTAACAACCTATAGAAATCCCCAATGAAATCTGGTTAAATAGTATTTGGAATCTGGCTCAACTGGAATGACTTACTTGCCACAAAAGGCTTAATTAGAAGCACTTCAAGGACTCTTTTGGTGAGATTTGGTTTCCTTTCTTTTCCTTTATAAATGAGACTGAAGATACTGTTATTCCACCCTCAACACAAGAAAATCTGTGGGAAGGCTACTTGAATTGATAATACATAAACAAACAAACAAACAAACAAACAAACAAACACATTGCTTGTGTACTATGTACTGCATATGAAGCTTAAGAATGCATCACTGGACAAGTTACTGTAGTTATATGTTATTTATTTGAATGAAAAATAATAAAAATTATGGGGGGGGGGAATGGGAGTCTGTGCCCCCCTAGCAGTTGTTGGACTTCAACTCCCCCAGCCACGACCAGGGCTGGATTTAGCTTTGATGAGGCCCTAAGCTACTGAAGGTAATGAGGCCCTTTATATGTCCAGCTGTCCTTTGTCAACAACAAATTGTCGCTGTTTTTTGTGTGAAATATATGCTATATGGTAATTTATGGACCTAATAGGTATCTAAAGCCATTTGCACATAACAAAATATGTATTTTATCAAAGTAATTGTTGAACTGAGATACAATTAAGAAGTAGTATATTAATAGTGAAATACAATTAAGAAGTAGTATGTTTTGTGGAGGCCCCCAAGAGAGTGGGGCCCTAAGCTACAGCTTGTTTAGCTCATACCTAAATCTGGCATTGGCCACGACCAACATAACCTGTAATTGGAGATTATGGGAATCAGAGTCCAGCAACATTGGGGGGGGGCACGTATCTCATAGATTTCTCATTCCCACTCTCATAAATTGCTGAAGGTGGCCTATATGGAGTTACTCCATTTTCTCCCTGTGGGTGGAGGTGGTGAACTACCCCAAGGTCACCCAGTGAACTTCCTGGATTAGCAAGGACTTAGACCCAGATCTCTTTCTTCTAGATACACTTGTGACTATCCACAACACATCATGCTAGAGATCTTTGCCTTTTGGTTTTTCTTATTGCCAGCTGTTGTTAAAACACACAACAGCCAACTGATTAGTTGTGCCATTTGCAGCGTGCGAGGTGGTGCTCTTCCTACCCCATCTTTAGGAGTCTGGGGCGCTGTGAACCAGGAATGCCCTGGCTCAGATCTAAGTTCTATCATAAATTTTCCAGGTGGCCTTTGGGAAGCCACACTCTGCTTTAGCCCAGGGGTGATAAAAATGGCTCTACTTCTAGGGCTGGTGTAAGGATTGCTGACATAATGTTTGTGAATGACTTGGGACACTTGAGAGGTAATCCCACTACTGCCGTTAATCTCTTGATTAGTAAAGTGCCCAAACTCATGCTGTCTTGGTAAATGCAGATGCCGTGTGGGAGCCTTCACTTGATAGATTTATTAAAATATTTACAAATCATCTTTCCAGTTTTTTCATTCTTCAAACAGTCAAAGCTGGCAGAGAGAAATCCAGAATCAAAGGCAGAAGCTGAAGCGGGAGAGGATGGAGGTCAAGAGGCAGAGATGAGTCAGGCTGGTGAAGAGTCCTGGGTGTCTCTCCCTCCTGCTGCAATCAACTCCTCTCCCCATTTGTCTCCCAGAACCAGAATGGGGTTGAAACGGGCAGAGCAGTGACAGGCTGTATGCAGGCATAGTCTCTGATTGCTTGGGAAAAGCCCTGGAGAGGAGAGGACTTAGATGGCTGTAGGGTACCAGGGACTTTCAGTCTCAGCAGCTGATTTTCATGCAGTAAGGCCACCGGGAATTAGCTTCTGTGCTTGTCAGGCCTGACCCTCAACCAAGTCTGTGGAGATTGTGTTTTTGCTAAGAAAGAGTTGACTCCAACTTTGAACGGTGTGATTTACTGCCGGCTCGTTCTGTGACAGACCTTGTTCCTCATGCTATAGGTCTGATCCCATGTATGTCACCTGATCACATTGTGTGTTATTTCCACCCTTTCATCTCCAGGTGAAGATCTGGTTCCAGAACCGGCGTATGAAGTGGAAGCGGAGCAAGAAGGCCAAGGAACAGGCGGCTCAGGAGGCGGAGAAGCAGAAAGGAGGAAGTGTTGGGGAGGACAAAGTGGGGGATGAGGTGCTGCCTGCAGGGGCCCCAGAGAAAAACAATGGAGGGCGCCGCTTGCAGGAACTCAGGGACAGTGACCGGGAGGAAGAGGACGATGAGGAAGAGGATGATGAAGAAGAGGAGGAGGAGGAAGATAGGCCCGGACACTGCTGCCCCTATGGGTCTCCCGACTGCTCTGACGGGGATGAGGATGGGAGGCAGCCCCATGGACGGCATGGGGGAGCCCACCCACAATTGCCCCCCACCTCGGCTCCCTGAACACTTGGATCCCAGAGCCAAGAGCTGCCTTCCTTCCACTGGTTCAGGAGAAAATCCTTTCCCAACCCCACGTGTGTTTGTTGCTCTATGTGTAAGCTGGTGCCCTGCAGGTGTTTTTGGACCACAATTCCCATCAGCCCCAGCCAGCATGGCCATATGAGACCATGGTGATGCTGGCTGGGGCTGATGGGAGTTGTAGTCCAACACATCTGGAGGGTGGCAGGTTGGCGAAGGCTGGTCTAAAGTAAAATGCTCTCGTTGTCCTCCATGCAACTGACTTTACTGGCCCCAATGGCGCTCCATGTGCAACTAACCCTACTCTTCCCAGTTTACACAGTCATGTTCCTCAGTGTCCTGCCTTCCCCCCGCCCATGGGCTCAGGCTTAGTGTCAGGGCTCGAGTCAAATGTGGGTTAGCATGTCTGTGCAGTTAACAATTCAAGGAAATGGCATACAACTCAGCAACACTGCCCAGTAGGTCTTGCCCCTATGGAACAGTAGGCAGAACTGAAGGTTCTCTGCCTTCCACTCTTTCTCCTCTCCCAGATGTTTCACAAACAGTCTCAAGCTATGTCTACACACCTGTGGCCTCTTTCCTGCTCTCCTCATTTATCTGTGCATTCTTGGGGACCAATGGGGAGGGGAGGTTGGCGCAACAGGAGAGGGAGACTCCCTGGAGTCTTCAACAGGCTCTTGACCCCCCTCCACTGCTTCAGCCTCGGAGTCTGAACTGCTCCTTGTCACAGGCTCTTCCTGATCACTATACCCTGTTGCCCCTTCAGCATCCAGCCCCTCTGACCTCTCTTCAGTGTTCCATCACGCATCCCCGGGCTCTGAGCCTCCCTCCTCTGGGGTTTCCCTTGAGGGATCCTTGGCTGGTGCCTTCCACCATACCTCTTCGCCCAGCCAGTCCTTGACACTTAGCACATGAGAGTTCTCTTAATCCGATTGGTATTGTTTAAAATTGACTTTTAATAATTTTACGGGCTGCTCTTTGAGAGCTTCCCCCGACACATCTTGCAAACAGTATTAAGTCACAACAACATTACAATATATAATAAATAAAACCCTTCCGTGACCACGCTAAATAATTCCAACAGCCAGCAATGAAACATATTTTTTAAAAGAATCAAAGGCCCAGCATGGTTGTATAAATAGTATAGAAGAAGAAGAGTTTGGATTTTATATCTCACTTTATCACTACCCTAAGGAGTCTCAAAGCGGCTAACATTCTCCTTTCCCTTCCTCCCCGACAACAAACACTTTGTGAGGTGAGTGGGGCTGAGAGACTTCAGAGAAGTGTGACTAGCCCAAGGTCACCCAGCAGCTGCATGTGGAGGAGCGGGGAAGCGAACCCGGTTCACCAGATTACGAGACTACCACTCTTAACCACACCGGCTAGAAGCTTCTGGGCCTTTAAGGAAAATAGGGTTGACAGTTCACTCCTGCTTAATCGGCCTGTGGCTTGACCTCCCCATTTTTGCCCTGCACTATTCACTCCTTTAGCTCCTCCTCAGCAATGCTCATTGATCAGGAGCGTAAAACCACATTGTCCTCTAGTGGTTGGTTGGGAATGTTAAGTCGCCAGCTCTTTGTCAGAAGAGCCAACCTCCAGACCTGGTAATGTGTCTCAGTGAAAAAATTCAGTTCACAAGGCACAGCTGATGGGCACCCCCCACAACCCAGTACAGATAGTACCGAAAGCTAGAGTTGTCTCCTTTCTGCAGCCCTGATTAATGATTCCCTGTTCTATTATGTCAGTGACACCGTGTTGAAAGCTGACACTGGACATGTGGCTCTTTGGACACTTTGCCTCTTCTCTTCGACAGTATTGAGAGTTTTTATGCTTTATAAGAAGCAATCTGGGAAACCTACGACCGCGAAGCTTGGAACTGCTGGGAATCTTGGGAGGACTGTATTGTCTTTATTTTTGTACATTGTATTTATAAAAAGAGTTAAAGAGAAATACCTCTACTTATGCATGCTAAGTTATTAATCGGCTTCTCCCAATGTCCCAAAGGTTATGTAAAATAAAACGGTTTTGTACTTGAGATCTGCATGGATTCCTTGAATCAAAGAGCTGGGTTTAAGGCTCTGTGTGTCAATTCTTACTAGGCTTTATGCTGAACAAAACCAATTCACAACTCAATTAAAATGAAGCAGATAGAATTAGGATTTCCAGGTTTTTTGTGCATGATCCTGTGCCTTAAGAACCGTAGGTCAGGTATAACGTCAACCAGCGATGACATTCCTAGTGCAGAGGTTGAGGGTTGCTAAACGGCTTCATATCACAGAAGGCTGATAACCTTAAGTAAGGAATTTTCCCCATTATAAACACACAATTCTTAACTCTAGCTGGATCAGACTAAATGTCCCTTTGTGTTTGATTTTTAGCTGGATCAGGCCCATTGATTTTAATGCTGCTTTCTTTCATACTGCATTTTAAAATGGGGGCATTGATCAATATTGATCAAACATTGCATAAAAGCCTCAAATTAAATGCATACATATACTGAGCATGCATCGAAAATGCAACTCCAAACTTCTGAGATACATAAAATCTATGTTTTTATAGTATTTCAGTGTTAGAGGGCTGTATGCAGGCCTTTAATTTTGCAACTGCAACCAGTTACAACAGACTGCGTTTATTTCCTGTGCACTGAACTGTGTTGCTCACTGTACAGCCTGGGAGCCGTCTGGAGAGAAAACAGAGTGTAAAACTAATGTGTGGATATTTTGAATTAGCAGGAAACTTGCCATTCCACCCCACACCAGAGGCCAAGGGAGCAGAGAAAACTGATCTCTGCGCATCTCACTAGCTGGATCAGGAACTGCAGGCGTAGATCAAATATATGCCCAAATGCTGATGCTGCACTACTTTCAGCACACTTGACTGTCCTTCCCCATTCAGATTCTGTTTCTGAGCCCAGATAATTAAAAAAAACCCTTCCCAGCTCTATCTGCTGCATTCTAAGCTTGTATTTTCTTTCTGTATTACCAAATGGAAAAAGAAATATTGAAGTAGATGTAGGATTCAGGATTTTGCTGCACTGTGTAACACTGGATATAGAAACATAGAAATGTAGAGATGGAAGGGACTCTGAGGATCATCTAGTCCAACTCCCCAAAGTGCAGGAATATGCAACTGTCCCATATTGGGATTGAACCTGTAACCTTGGTGTTATCAGCACCATGCTCTAACCCACACACACACACAGAAAGAATGTCATAAATGGACCAAGCAGTACAAGTTGTATGTGACATGTTGTGTGCAGAACATATTTCATATTCTTTAAGAAGTACGTTTGGGTAAATAATTAAAAATCATTCCCTTTAATAGCGGGGTTAGGTGGTAATTTTCAATAGCTTTGAAGCAAAAACAACAAGGCCATTGAGAAATAAGAGAATAATGTCAGGGGACGGACAGGGGGAACCCTCAGGTTTACAGAAATACAACAAACTTTTTCACAACACCAACACCTCAGGGGTCAGCCCCCCAAGTAACTCAGTGAGGTTAGAAGTCCATAGCTGAGGACTGCTGTGTGTCAGTTGGAAAAGAAAAATGGAAAACCTGGAAAAGGGGATAGAAATACTTGCCTTTCACTTTCTGAAGCACCACGTGCCCTACACTGTAATATTAAGCTTGCAATCCTAAACACTGGAAGGAGGAAGCCCCAGTGCAATCCTAACAATGTCTACTCAGAAGTAAGTCCTATTGAATTCAAGAGCGCTTGCTTTCCGGTAAGTGGGGTTAAGAGTGGAACCTTTGTTCTGAGTTAATATGCACTCTGATCCGAATAAACAACCCAACTCTTCCCACCCCGCTAGAAAAGTACCGCTGAAATCAGTAGAACGCCTCTGGAGTAAACCACTTCAGGCTAATTAAAAGCATCTTCTTTCTCCTCTCGGGTCAATCTCCGATCCTAAAACTCCCTTCGTCGCGCCATAGAAATCAATAGGAATTTGCTTCCTATCAAACATGCATGCAGTGGATCTCAAAAAGGAGCGAGCGTCTTCAGCACCTTGGTCAGCGGGAGCCGTTGGCAACGTGGCGCCCTCCAGACGCTACTACAACTCTCATCTGTTGGCTGGCGCTGACGGGAGTTGTAGTCCCAAACATCTGGAAGGCGCCACGTTGCCAAAGGACTCGGATTTGTGCAAAACCCAAACAATCTTCCCTGGCATTCCGGCTCAAGTTCTTGATGGATCGACCTCAGGCTTCCCAAGTGCAGTCAAGCACAGGGTTGCTGGCTCCCCCGCCCCCCTCTTAATTTATATATATATTTAAATTAAACGTCTTACTCAGCAAAAGCATCCCCGCTCCAGCCCCTTAGCAGCCTTGGGATTTATCTGGCTAATAAATTGAATTATCAATTCCTCCTTGTCAGCGAGGCGCTTCCCCAAATCAATTATGGCAGATTCAAATATCATCACCGGCTCATCGATGCTAACTCTGGGCCGCCGCTCGCCATTCATCGCCCGTGCCGTGAATTACTGCCGGTCGGCGATCTGGCCTCGGTCTCCCGCCATCCTTCACAAGGCGCTTGTGGGTTCAAACGAGCCGGAGCCACTGCCACCGAAGAGGCGACGGAAAGAGGTCCCCGCCTCCCTGAACGTAGCGGAGTGACTCCGGATTGACTCCAGGTGTGTGAATGAGGGAACTCTCCCCACCCCCCCCCCAGGTTGTTGTTTCTCTTCTACAACCCGGTCCACTTATCCCTTTAAAAAATGGATAACAGCAGTGATGTAAAAGAGGGACAAAAGTGGACTCCCTTGCGGAGTTGTTGTAAACCAAAGAGGCAAAAGACGCACACTTACTTGGGGTAAGCCCCATTGAAATGAATGGAGCTTACCCCTGAGTAAGCACACACAGAGAGGCAGTCTGCAAGGACGTGATTGAATTCAATTTATTTATTTATTGCACACATACCACCTTTTTCTTAAGAGAACTCAATACATGATTCTCCTTCTCTTCATTTATTCTCTACAACAACAAACCCTGTAAAGGTTAGACTGAGAGGCCCAAGGCCACCCAGTGAGCTTCATGGCTGAGTGGGGATTCAAACCCTGGTCTCCCAGGTCCTAGTTCAACACTCTAGCCACTACTCCATGCTAGCTTTACTGCTGAGAGACCCTCCAGACTGGTGTTTTATTGCAGATATATTCCTGCAATGTGTTTTTGACATAGTAATAGTGCACTGAGATGGATTGTCTGTATTTAGTTTGTTCTGCGATGCTTTCCTAATGCAGCCACATTATTACAATAGAAATAGGGGGGAAATAGAGCATTTGTGGCATGAAAAGTTACAGGATCTCAGCAGGAAGTTATGGGATGTGCTCTCCTAGGAAATGAAGCTTTTGCAGGCAAAACAGTGTTGAAAACAGTGTTGAAAATGGGTTTGTATGTGGCTGCCCTGATAGCATCGTGAGTGCAAATCATCATGAATGTGCAATAAGGAGGAGATCTGGTGAATAAACACAGATGGTTGCAAGCAGTGAGGTGTCAGTACTTCCCTCTCAGGAAGTATGCTACTTCCCTCTCAGGAAGTATGCTAACCATACAAACAACACCTTACAAATACAAAAGTAGAGAGAAAGGACAGACTGATTTTCTGTCCTTAGCCATTGCATATGTCACAAGCCTGTATCCACTCTGTTTGGCATTAATAGTCTCCTAAACTTTTAGTTGCCAACTTTTTAAAATACTCTGCTCCTGTGCTTTTAACAGCACTTAGATTCATTTAAAAAAATGAAAAAATGTTTTAAATGTTTGATATCTTATTATGTCTTAATATGCGCTGCAAGCTGCCCAGAGTGGCCAGATGGGCAGGGTATGAATAATAAAAAATATTATTATTAGAAAAAGAGCCAAATGAACTTTTTAATGGCACAGAACAAAAGGGCATGGGAAAAAGTGCCAGGAGTTTTAACATCTGTAACATCAGGCAAAGGAAGAATGGGGAAAGTTGTCAACCTTGAACCTTGCATCAAAGTCAACAGAATATAATCTGTGTCTGTCTGTCTGTCTGTCTGTGCGTTTGTCCTTGGATTGTTCTGGTCAGTTGGGAACCCTTGGAATAAGGGAGGGATTTGAGGGTTAAATACAAAAAAAAGTGCCACACCAATGTAATTTTAAAATGTAAATAAGGTTCCAGCAAGCTGGAGCACCAGTCTTCTTATGATGCAATTCTCCTGTGTGTCTCAAGAGGTGTGTGCATTCACGTGTGATTCAGG